TGTGCTCGTAGGTCATGCTTTTAACTTCCTCCTCACCAGTCGTCCATAGTGTGCTGTCGGCATGTTTTGGTTTAGGAGGAGGTGGTGTTTCAGAGGCCTCCTTCAGCAGCTTCTCTAAAGCAGAACTCAGGACACTGACCTTGGATGGAGAAACAGACTTTTCTATGGTCTCACCAATTTCCTGCGGCAACTCTCCATTGTGCTCGTAGGTCATGCTTTTAGCTTCCGCCTCACCAGTCGTCTGTACTGTGCTGTCGGCACATTTTGGTTTAGGAGGAGGTGGTGTTTCAGAGGCCTCCTTCAGCAGCTTCTCTAAAGCAGAACTCAGGCCACTGACCTTGGATGGGGCAACAGACTTTTCTATGGTCTCACCAATTTCCTGCGGCTACTCTCGTCATGCCTTTAACTTCCACCTCACCAGTCGTCTGTACTGTGCTGTCGGCATGTTTTGGTTTAGGAGGAGGTGGTGTTTCAGAGGCCTCCTTCAGCAGCTTCTCTAAAGCAGAACTCAGGCCACTGACCTTGGACGGAGAAATTGACTTTTCTGTGGTCTCACTGACCTCTTCAGGCTGACCAGTATCTTCATGGCATGCTGATTCTATTCTACAATTAGTGTGTGAAATACTATTCATGTCATCCGATGTTTTCATTCCCACCCCTCTATATTCAGGAGGTTGAGATGCAAAGGTTTCTCTCAGCAGGTTCTGCAAACCAGCATCTGGCCTCTGAGAACTCGCAAGAGTGTCATCCTTCTCTGCTACCTCATTTCGTAGACAGAAAGTTTCAAATTCCCTAGACAGTTTCCTGAGGCTTTGTTTGTTTTCATGCTCATCTGTTGATGGCACAATCATTTTTCCTATGTTTTTTCCTATTTCTTTTTTTTGATCAGCAGGAGAAATGTCATGACTCTCTTCTACTGTTCTTTCAAAGACCTTGCACTGATTTGAGTGAGAAGTTGTCCCTTTCAAAATGTTTTCTTTTAGGTTCAAGCTAGATGATATCTCATAGGCTTCCTTTTCTGACTTTTTTAGGCCTAATTTAAGTACATCAAGCCCAGCTTTAGGTAGAACAATCTTATCCACAGTCTCTGCAACTTCCTGTTTAGGGAGACTGACATCCAATGGAGTAGACTTGTTCTCCACTTTTTCTATAGGTAAACATAGCCAATCATCTACTGCTATCTCCTTTAAGGCATCTTTATCACCAAGTGATTGGAGTAACTGCAAGGAAACACGATGTTCTTTTGATGAAACAATACTTTTTTCTATACATTCTTTAACTTCATGCTCTGGAAGACCCATCTTTTCCTTGGGTTCTGAGATAACTGATTTTCTGTCCAGCTGGACAGGGTCCATAATTTTTGTGTGTGTCACATTTAGACCTTTCAGGGTAGGAGATCCTAGAGGCAGTTCACGTACCACAGACTCTAGTTTCTGTGTTTTTTCTCTCTCAGGTGTTTGGGTTTGTTGTTGAATTAACTCTTGCTTGCTCACATTATCTCTGCCTTTTTTATCTTCCTTCGATTTTCTTTCATAGGTTATTGAACTAGTATTATTTGGCAAAGAAACATCTCCCCTATCAATGCTACTCTGTAATTTAACTCCAGTATCCCAGAAGTTTCTCAGACTCTGGAACTGTGAAGGATCTGAAATTTGATTATTGGACTTTTCATTCATTTTTTGTTTTAAAGACAAAACCTGGAAGCTTGGCTTCTGTTGGGAAGAAGTGGCAACTTTTCCTTTAAGTGTTTCTTTCTCATCTTTGTCTTTGCTTTCTTGGGAAGCTGAAGTAGCACCAACTCTTGGCTGCAAGTTGCTGGTTTTTGGCAATTCTGTATATTCATGAAACAGAAGTGTTCTTTCTGGCTTTTCAACTGCATGGTCTGGTCCAAATTCAGAAGAGCTTTGATGTTCATTTCTTGAAGCTCGGCTTGCACAACTTAGTTCAGCCCTTCTTAATGTATTCTTGCTTTGATCATCCAATCCTTTAGGTAGGTATACTGCAGTTGGTTTTATTTTGTCATTCTCTCTGAGACCTTTCAATGCACCACCACCTGATGCATTAGTATTGATACTAACTTCTTTCTCTGCATGACTCGGGATAGTTTTATCCTTTTCCCAGAATGCTCTGATCTCCCTTATTCTTCTTTTTTCTTGTATTGCCTTCTCCGATTTGCATTTCTGAGCTGGTAGCTCATGTTCCAAGAGATTTGATTTTTGATTTTGTTGCTTTATTTCTTGACCACGTTCTTTTTCTTCAACTCTTGTACAGTCAAATTCAGCTATTGATTTGTCATTTTGCTCCTTGTTCCCTTCCCCTTTCTTAGGTTTTATCATCTCTTTTATCAGCTGTATATTTTCTGAAATAAATGATGTAGGTGAAATACTGTTCTGTTGCTTAACCTTTCCAAACGGTAACTCTTTTGTAACTTTCGTTTTTCCATCCATACTAGGCCCACTGTCTTCTGTAGGAAGAACTGCTGTTCTGGTTGAAAAGTCCTCTTCCACTTTGGGTTCCTCGCCTTGGGATCTAGCTGATATATGTTTCCTGTCTTCAGTACCAGAACTTCTTTTAAACCAATCTAAAACTTTTGATACAGATTCATCGTCCACTTTCATGAGTTCATCAGCATGTTTGTCAGGTTTGAAAGTGGTTTTAGCATCTTGCTCCTCAACAAGATCAGGCTTACCTTGTTGAAGACTTGTAGAATTCACATTTGACACCTCATGTGCTTCTGTCTTAGCAGAAAGCTGATGTTCATCTACAACATAAAAAAACTGAGAGTTAGGAATCAGACACATGACTCTACAAATGTTCAATCTATCTTGAAAAATCTCTCAGATTTTCTTTTTTTTTTCTTTTTTTTTTTTTTTTTTTAAACTGTTAGCAGAGAAAAAGAGTTCTCTGTCCTTCTGTTTTTGTAAAGAACCATACTGCAGGCAATAGAAGAATAAATTCCTACACCGAGATATCCTCCTGGAAGATTAATTGTATTACTTTTGAGGGTGCAAGCAGATAAGATTGGTTATCCTCATTCTAAAGGAAATGGCTACATTGAAAGGGGGCTCGGGCAGGGAGGACAACCCAGCATATTTGTGTTTATTGCCATGAGCAAATCTAAGTCACAGCTGGGTTACTACCAAGGACAGTTGGCAGCAGTATACCAAAAATTCTTCAGTTCCCATGCAGACAGATCCAGGAGTCAGGAATTTTATCCAAATGCCATCACTTCACCTTCACTGTTCACAATAACGGTGCCTATCCAGGCTCTGATCTGATTGTTAATTCTTAAGAAAACCAATAGAAGATCATCTAAAAAATATTGACTACATCAGAGCATTAAAATACAAAAAAATTATGTTGAATTTAATTCTGCAGTATATAGCACATTCCTACTATTTCTGTTTCCTAGTTGTTAATTCTTAGATACAAGTAATTCAAACATTAATGAATACATGTTATATGCTATTGCATTCTGTTCTTCACTCCTTAGTCTCTTACCAGGAAAGTTTTTGTGCGACTTTGTTTCATGGCTCAAGAGCTGGTTGGATTTATAATCATGTGTCTCATCAACACTCAGTTCATTATTGCTATTTGGCAGGATATTGCTGCAGATCTTCTGTGGAATTTCAAGTTTCTTAGGAGTAACTGTCTTTGTCTGCAAGGTTTCATTAACCAGGAAGACTGACCTATTTGTGTCACAAGGGCCAGATGCCAATGTATCTTCTTGTAAGCCATCTATTGTTTTTATTTGTAAAGCTGATGAATAGGTTCCCAAAGACTTTACAGCAGAAAATTGCTTATTCCCAAATGAATCTGATCTAATAACATCATTTCCACTACCCTGCATTTCATCAGATTCTAACAAACCAAATTCTCCTGTTTCTCTAACATGATGCAGCTGTGGGCTTTGCAGAGGTTCTCCTTTACCAGTGCTAGATGAGAACCTCACTTGTTTTAGTTTTTCCAGTGAAATTTGTGTGGAGTCTTCCACTTCTTCTGTAAGAGAGTTCTTCTTGGCTTCTCCTTCAAAAATAGTTGCAGTAGGAAGACCATTCTTTTTCTGAACATCTAACATCTGACTAACTTGAATTTCTGAGTCAGTGGAACTTGAACTGCGCTTCAGAATGCCCCTGGGTGGTGTACCATGGCCATTAATCCTCTCAGTCTGTTTGGCTGGTTTTGGAAAAAAGTCTTCTCTCCGTGACACAGGCTCAGTTGCTTTGTGAATTAATTTTCTAGCTTTTGGGACGGGACGCTTAACTAGTCCTTTCTGTGATTCATCAGTAGGTTCTACAGAAGGCTTCTTATGTTTCTCTGTTTCATCATTTTGTAAGTTTGGTTTAGGTTGGCTCTCTTCTGAGACCGACAAAATTTCTGTAAGACATATACAGAGAAGAAATCATGAATTTACATGACATTCATCTGCATAAAAAGAAGGTATGATACCATGCAGATCTCGAATGCAGTGATTATATTGGTTTATTAAAAACATTTGCAGTAAGACACAGGAGGAAGTTCAACATAGGTGTTGATTTCATTTGTATGTAATAGGAAATTTTAGCAGATGAAAATCCTGCTGTTATTTCTTATTCTAGAAAGATTAACTATGTGATGATTCCAAAGACAGAGAACACACCAAATTTTTGATCAGCATTATTCCTGGAAGGACAAAGTTTGCAGGGAAGGGCAGCTTTTGAATACACATACACCTCTTCAGGTTCAGAAGATAAAACAGCAACGTACAGAAATGGAAAAAGCCTATTTACACTTTCATATGGAATAAGGTAAAATGCAGAAATGATCTCCAGTAGGGAGACTACATTTTTGTTATTCCTAATGTGTAAGTCTTCCTTTTTCTTGTTAGCAAGCTTCATAACAGAGAAAGGATAGTAATTTCTACACATGAACCTGTAAATTACAACTTCAAATGCCTGTATTGTGATAATATCATCACTCATCTACTTGCTTGCAGAGAATACTGTGTGAAAGGGAGGATTTGAAAATAAACAGGACTGAGAAAACAAAGGGAAAAATATAAAGATCAAAGAGAGTTAGGCTGCTTCTGCTGAGCCAATAGCAGCAATGACTAGAAGGCCATAAAAACAGCTCTGCCAAAATCAAGGAAATTTCTCTGTTCTCTTAACAGCAATTCAGGACAAGCAGCCCTCTCAGATGGAGTGCTTAAGACTGACTAGAGCTGCAAGTAAAAAAGGAAGCAAAACTCATTTACTCACATAAACAGCCATTTCCTGAGTATATTCACATGTTTTTCATGGGGTTTGAAATGAACTAGCTGATAACTCCAAGTAGTTAAGATAAAGCAGATTTTGATATCGTACAAAAAGAAGCCATGAAAGTAAAAACAATTTCCATATAAACCACCAAGAAATTCACAGCCATATGCTAAATAAGTATATTTACCCTTCTTTGATAGCTGAGGTAGAGTGGCTGATCTGTTTTCTGATTCCCCACTGTTCAAGTTACCACCTGATGCAGTGGAATTAAATGGATTTCTCCTTTGCTAAAAAAAAAAAAAACAAAACAGAATGAACATTATAATTGCTGTCAAATTGCTATATCAGTACAGTCTTCACAAATAAATGGAAGTGCAGTGATTTCCTCTGCCTCACCACCCTGTCAGCAAAGAATCTGAAAGCATGCCTCTCAAATTGCATACATGACAAAAAACCTAAACAATATGAACCGGTGAACTGTCAGAAGTGCTAGTGATAGCCTCATCTCGTTCATTGTGAAGTCACCAAAAGCACAGATAAGCCACCACTTAAAGACACTTTAAAATCCCAAGTTGTTGCAAGTTAAATAATTTTGTCTCTAATTCTGTAACTTTAGAGATACTGGATCATAGCAGGACAATTCTTTTCAGTGGTTGAAGAGGCTGTAAACAATGTCTAGCACAAATAGCCACTGATTATAGCCGTAACAGCACTTCAGTGCTGAACTTTTAGTGGTTTCCATTATCTCCCTCCAAAACAAAAAAAATACTCATTTTTTCCAACTTACTATCTTTCTTCCTCAAACCTTTAATTGTCTTTACCACTGAAGCAAAGAAACAGACAAAATGTAAAAGATAACTTCTGCTATATTCAATACCAGTCGTACCTTTACTGGTGAGACTGCTGCCTCCATAGGTCTTTCCTCTGGTTTGCCTAACACAGAGGTGGTTGTTTTAGAACTGCAAAGAAAAAGCATGTAATGACTTCAGCAAACAGGACATTACGTTAAGCCTTTTTGAAAAAGCAAAACAAAGATTCATTTATACATACTCGAATATCACTTCTTGGCACCTGAAGTTTTCTATTTAGCCTGTTCTCATCAGATTCAGAAGCAAACCTCCTTTCCATAGCAAGGGGATATTCTTACTGCTTTGTTTCCTTGCAAAAACTTCTTTGCTTGTTAAAGAATTCAGTACAACTTCTACTTGGCATGACAGAAGCCATATTTTTGATATTTTTCAGATTTATGAGCAAGCTTTCTGCAAATATAGCCACACTCCAAACAATATCAGTGTTGCCATCTCCATCCTTGTCCTGCATTTATACTTCTAGGACTGAAATCAAAGTGGAGGAAAGTGCCAAAGTCTGATATTAAAAAAAAAAAAAAAAAAAAAAAAAAAAAAGAGTTTTGTAAAGTGTCCAAGTCAGAAAAATCAGAGGAACACCATCACCACTGTAGCAAAGATGTGACATGCCACAGACGACAATACATCCCCTCAGAGGTACAGCTTATAAGCTATTCTTTCAATTAAGATCTAAAAAAATCTGTGGTTTAATAGCATAAGTGAAGTAAGTTATTACTTGTGACCCTGACTAAGTATAGCCCAGGTAAGGAGAAATTAAAACAGTTAGAAGAGACAGCTCCTGCATTATAACAAAAAATATTTCATCTATTTGCAAAATGATGTAAGGGTTTGGTTTTTTTCCAAAGCAATCAGATTTTTATAATTTGAGTTTATCTAAACATCTCAGATACAAAAAAAAATTTGTTTTTTGAAGATGGAAGTTAGATATGGATTTAAATATGGTCTTCATATAACAACCACATTCAGTATCTTAATTTTATATAGAAAATGCTGGCATTAACCAACTTACATGCTTATGATTTTGGGGCTGGCAGAAACAGTACAAGGCAGGAAAAATAAATATTCTCCAGGTAGGAAATACGACCTCAGGCTAGGAAGGAAAGCAACTCCTATGGTTTTTCCAATATAGATGTATAGGGAGATTCCAGTACTAAATATTTTTTTGGTCAGTGATCTTTGGTATGGGTGAAAAGAATTTCAGATATTGATAGGTAAGTAGCAGAGTCACAAGACAACGCTTTAGACAGTGGATGTGGTATCTCAGGACAAGAAAATAGCTCCCAGCTCTCATCAAGTTCTATGGTCAAACAGGAGCTGCCTCCTCACATAGAAGAAGATCTGTCCAATCAGGTAACTGGCAACAGTCTGCCCTGCCAAGGACAAAAAACTCTCTCATCTTCTCTGGGATGCAGTGCAGTTAACCTTGGAAGTTTAGGGGAAAAAATTAAAAAAAAAAAAAAAAAAAGAAAAGACTCTGGCAACCATCCTCAAAAGGCTACTGGCCGCTGGACTGCTAAGTGTGTCTGAGAAGGGATATCCTCCCATTTCACAAATGGAAAAACATCATTATGGAGAAGATAAAATGATACAGTAATGAGCAGCCTGAACATAAGGCTAGGAAAAAAATACCAGTTGTAATCCGAGCTATAAACTTCTGGTTCAACAATACCTTTAAGAAATATACCACCATGCATAGTGATACAAACTTAAGGTATGAGCTGATCTTGTAATGAAAACTGTCTCATGAGTGAAAAAATAAACTGTTCTTTTATTTCAGCACTAACTGCAGCAACCTCTGATATGCACACACCAGCTATAACACATTGTTATTGTTCTCTTTATTCTTCTCTGATCCGAAATAAGACAGAAATTTCTAGTTCTCAAAGAGTTCGATATTGTAACTTTTAATTTCTTTAAAAAATACCAAAACATTCCACATTATAGTTTTTTACCTTAGTTCTAATACTGGCGGGGTTTAATTCTGAAAATACATATATTTCAAGAAACTTTGTTCTGCTGAATTGGAGTTTGTGCTCTTGCTTTTATAAAGCATTTGAGTTTGTGGTTTTGGTTTTAAAAGCACCTGTGTGCTCCTGCACTTTGTCTCATCTACACCATCTCACCCAACAGGACAAACATGAGCTAGAGATACATAGATAGGTAGATCTGTGTATGTATGTATGTGTGTGTATAGATTTTTTTTTCATTAAGGTCTAGGTCATGAATGCTTCAACCCTTCGCTCATTTTAAACAAGGAAAATACTGTTATGTACCCTGGGCTGCCAAGAAAATGGTAAGACATTCTTTGCTCTGCATTTTTTACAGGTGGGGAAGTAACTTTAAGTCTTATTGAACACACACACAAAATCCCACAATATTTTAATGCAATGCTACTTCAGACTTACCATAGAATAATTAAAGAGTTGTTAATTTGGCATTACATACTGAAAACCCTGCTCTAAAGAAAACAAAGTAGAGAAAAAAAACACACTCAGGATCCTATAACTAAGTTTCACAACAAAGGGTCTGAAAATGCAAGTTTACCCTCAACCCATCTAGATGGGAATACTGAACAGACCGTTCCCAGATACGCTGCATTCACAAGGCTAACCTAAGAGAGTGTATGAAGCCAAACTGATAAATACACCCAGATTAAAAAATTCCTGCACTGCAATTCAGCAAAACAAAGAACTGAGAGCCACAATGAAGGCCCAAACTCCACACAAACTGGACAGCACTGGAGAGGAACCAAGAGGCAACAAGGCAAAGGCAGGAGCAAAGCTGGAGAAAGGGGTTATATATAGATTTGCAGGCATTGTCAATACAGTCTACTCAGAAATGGCCCTCCATTCAAAGGAAAAAAAGCTTTCCTGGGCTTATCTTGAAGGGTAGAGAATCTAGTGTGAGTAAAGCTAGTGCAATTTAGCAGAACTCCATCAAAATGTCCCAGTACCCCTATTATTCTAGAAAGGTTATGTGGATTTTACGAGTTAGGGCTTTTGTGCAAATTTTTACCTTGCAGAACCCTAGGACCCACACTTGTCACCTGTTCAATGTAGGCTAAGAATATTTTCTAGCCTCAGGAAGAAAATAACATACAAATCTTAATTTGAAAGATAAAACCCCTTTAACATTGCCCCTTTTTGAGATTCAGCGTATAGACAGATGGTATCACTGAACAGAGGCAATATTGACAGTCTGAGTCACCTTATCAAAACTCGTTCTGTACAAGGTTACACCTTCAGACACTTCACACACCTGGCCTGTAAAGGCTCTGGTATGCTAGAGAAGTACCACAGTGATATAAGGCCCAGGAAAAAAAAAAAAATGTTCATAGCTTCATTACTGAACTTAGATACTTGGGGTGTGGGAATGAAGGTCACTATGCTAATTTTAAGAATATAGTTGTGGGGTGATTTCTGTTCCACTTCATATAGCAGCACCCTGACTCAACAGCAGTTGAGCTGTCCCCAGGGCTTGATTTGACCCTCAGCAGTTTACAAACAGATCTACCAGAACTGAACTTTGTTCACATTCAGTAAGAATTGTTTTGATTTAAGACTAGGATCCAGAATAAAAAAGTCTGGGTAATTTGTTATCACATATCTTCTGGTCCCAGTCCTCAGGTTAGCAGTGGTTCAGCTTATGCAAAGCCTGCAAGCCAGTGCTGGCCTCAAGCCCACTTTTAGAGTAAGAAGGGCAAAAAAACTGCACCAACTGAAGCCCTGAAACCCACAGCTCCCACAAACCTACCCTTAAAGTAGCACTTTAAAGCATTTTAAAAGTTCAAGTGCTTGAACCACATGTAGCATTTGGACACCAGAAGCTGTGAACTCACTTAATGCAATCCCAAGCTCCAGAATGATACTCTGTTTCAGCCTTTTAGTTCTAGCCAGATTAAGACTACTTGCAAGAGGAAGAGTCAATTAATTCCTCTGGCTCTGCTATCCTAACAGCCAAATTAAATGTTTGTAGTGTCTAGGTTTTCCCTTCCCACTTCAACTGGTGGGGTTATTGCTTTCCCAGCATTCTGTTTCCCCTCAATTCCTGATCAGCTGCTGCCATTGGAGACAGGCCCACTGCCATGTCAGACCAGTTTCTTTCAAAGTCCAGTATAAAGAGAATAGAAAGGAAGAGGAGTATTTTAAAAACCTATTGCACCTCCTGCAATTCCCCACGTGCAATGCTGTGTAGACTGATCTCAGCCATAGTGAAATAAGCCCATTCTGAAGTCATAAGCAATGACTTGCACATAGTCTACCACATTTGCTTGCTTCAGCTTTTGACATTTTAGAAGCAAATAATCTGAGACATCTAATCATTTATGCAAAGTAAACACAAGTAAGTGTCCAACCCACATACTATAGATCACTTCCTAAGGTCCACTTCTAACTGCCTCATAAATCCTGGACTGTGTGAGCTTGCTTTAGAGGGAAGATCTTGAACCATTGGTGAGGGTATGAGCACACATGAACAAGTCATACAGGCTGACTAATTTCTGGCACAATTTGGAGCAAAGGGCAGAAGAAGGTCCTGAACCACAATGGCTTCACATGACTGTGACCTGAAATAAGTCATCAAATCACCTCAAGTTAAAGACCACTATCAAGCTGGTCATATTCCAAACAATTGCCTACCTGTTCTTAAACCTGGTTATGTTACATATTTTTGAAGAGGCTGCCCTGGCAGTTTATGAAATGTATTACTCTTTATCAATCATACACATTTTATGGAGTTGTAATGGTAAGAATAACATTATAAGGCTGTACTTCTTTTAAAGTATCATCATCATTTCCTGATGTGCAAGATGCCATGCAAAAATATACTAAGATATATTAAACAGCAGCATGTCTTATGCTGTCCATAAAGCAATAACTCCATAGCAATGTCCTGAAGGTAAAAGCCAGCTGTGAAAAAACTACATTCCGTAACAACTAACTCTGTCAACATTATCAGCCAACTTGTGTGGGGGGAGCTAAGCTCTTGTGATGAGCAACCTTTATCATCCTTATTGTACAACTTCAGTTTTTGGGAAGTCTCTAACAAAGCCGTTTATTTGACCTTTTTCAGCACAATTTCAGATGTCGGTAAGACAAATACCCTTTTGAGTTCACTGATAATGATATGTAAAGGATAAGACAGACCAGTAATGTAAGCCAGAGTTGTTAAGACTTACACCAACCTTTGGTGCCATTCATCATGAACGCGTGTGCCCAGTTTGCAGACCACGAAAGTGAAAGATTCAACTGCTACTAGATACTGTACAAATGCATAGTAGGAGACAAGCCTTGCTGCAAAGAAAAAACAGATGATGTACAGAGAAGGACTTAGAAGACAGGCATGAAAGTGAAAGGTTACAGAGCCGATCAATGGCACGACAAGAAGTAGCTCTGGCTCTTACCTCACTCTGTCCGCTGAAAGTACAAAAAATAGCTACCTGTGTTACACCTTAGTTCTTGTTTCCTCAATGATGTTGAGAAATCTGGCCATTTAAAGATATTTCATTTCTACCTGCTGTCACCCTAGCTAAGAGATCAGCACTTTCCTTTTCAAATGGAGGCTTTTTGAAACCTTTTCACAGCCAATTAATTACTACATGTAGATGTTTTAAAGAAAACATGCATGTCTCTGAAATCAACTCAGAATATTTCAAAGCAAAATGGAGCTGTTTGGGATGTTTACAGACTTGACAGTGTGATTTAATACAAAATCATCTGTAGTGCAGAAACTACTTAAAATATCACCCAGCATCCCTGCAACAACTATAGCCATTCAGGCATATCCAAGCTGACCCTCTTGCCTTACTCTGAATGGAAGCCTCTCCCTTCCAGAAAGACATTTATTTTTTTTGGTAGAATCTGACTTATTTTCTGCAAGTATCCAAAAATTTTGGTTCTTTCCACCTGAAATACATTTGGTCTCCTTAAAAAGTCTCAGAGGTCTTAAATTGTGCACTCAAAAATCTGGAAAATTCTAAAGAGCAGTTTCTCAGTCTCTGATTCCTCATATAATCCAAGCTTAAAATTCAGGCTGAATCAATAGTCTGGTCTCATTAACTGACTGAATGAAGAGATGCAGAGGTTATTGTCCCCCTAATACTAACTGTGGAGGACTGATCATGGCCAACCATTCTAACCAGAAAATCCTGGTTTCACTTCTGGGAGCCAGACTAAATTGTGACATGAGAACATGTGTAGGACACTACTATACACCACTAACAAGCTTTTCCTTGAAGAGGTAAGCCGTTCTGCATTCAAATGCAGAACAATTACCAATGCATGACTATGATTTCTCAGCCTTTCACATGCACATATTCTTTGGGTGATCCCGAGGAAATATTTGATGACCTTTGAAATAAGAGGCAAGTACAATATTTTGGATGGAACTTACAGCTCATAAGTTTCACGACTCCCAATATATAATACTAAGTGCAATTAAACAGACAGCTTACCTCAAACTAGATTTCAGTTCTTCTTCTTCTTTATGTTCCACAATGCCATGTAGTTCTGGTGGCACAAAGACTTCTTTATTAACATTGCTCACCCAGCTATCCTTTGCTTTGTTTGATTTGTTCTGACTCACTTCAGCTAAAACATGAAACAAGAATATTATCTCCCATATGTTCACACAGGATTTCTTAAGAAGCAAATCGAAGTATGTGTATTGAGTCCTAAAGCTATTTCAAAAGTCCACTATACTTGAATTATGTACAGAAGTGGATCTGGTGCCTTCTGAAGAATAATTTTTTAGTGCTACTAGAAATGTCACATACTGGTCTGAATATATCGCTCTACTACTCCAGGTACATCTGCTTTAGACCTTAAAGTGATCATAAATGGAGACATTTTCTACAATGACAGTGGCAGACTGATCCTGTAGTTCTTGCAGCTAGATAAACATCAAAAATTCAACCTTGGTGTGATGAGGAAACAAAACCAATTAAACCATAGGAAACTGAAAATATGTTGAAGTTTAGTTAAATCAAGTCAATTATTCTCTTCCTCCAGCAGTAAATTGGAAGTTGGTCATAACTGTCATTTAAGCAGGTGGCTAATGCTTTATGGATAGAATTACCATAAGAAGTTAAGAAGGTAAGTATAAAAAAACCCAACCAAACAAAAAGGCCCACTCATTCAGCAAATGCAAATACATTTCTTTTTGGGGTAGAACAGAGTCATATTCTGATAACCCCTTTCAGAGTAAAAACATTGCGTTATTTCCTCTACTGCTTTTTGTATTTCTCCAACAGTTTAGAAATGAAGAATTCCTTAGTGTGCAAAAATAAGCAAGATTTTTATTCTCACTTTTGTTATCCATAACTGCAAGCAAAAATATCTTGACATCTAACAAGTCATTGAAACCAAGCAACGGCACTTGAGTTCTGAATGTACCAGTATGCCTCTTTGTTCAAGTAATAAGATTGGGAGTAATTAACCTTCCTTTAAGATAATATGGCTTTAAGTATTTTCCTTTAAGCTATAAGTTACTGTAAAATTTAGCCAGAATTTTACAGCTGATTTTCATAACCTTCAAGTCCAAAACATGCCAAAACCTCAAACGCACTGCCCTAACCACCTGCGAATTTTTGCTTTCTGTTCCGTTTGAGGCCTTTTCTTGTTAACTTAAAAACCCCACACCAATCCACAGTAACCACAAACTGACTACACTGCCATTATCCAAACTCATCTCTGGGAACATAGGAACTGAGAAGGTATAACATTGCAGGATTAGACACAGGAAAACAAGGCTAAGTTGCAGTTACAAAACCTATAGAAAGTAGCAAGCTGTAATCCATTCAGAGTATTGAGAGAAGTACCTTCCTTGCTTCTCTAGCATACAGTAAAATCCCTTAATAGAACTTAAAAGAACAAAGGTTGCAAGTTTCAGTACAATCTGATGAGAATAAGAGTATTGCCCTTCTAAGTCAAAAGGATTTAGGAGAACTAGAGGAGGTTAAGATGGGATGAGGAATCAATTTCTTTAAGAAAAAAAAAAAAAATCACTTTCTGTACGAAGAATGACAAAATAGACTAAGACTTCTCAGATTAAAAAGTCAGATGCCAAGAGATTTATAACAGAAGTCTATAAAATCCTGTATACTATATTATATATGTTTTTGTGAACATAGATCAACTGTTCACTTTCTCTCCCAGAGATAACGTTAATGGTGATCAGTTCAAAACCAGAAAAGGAAATGGTCACTTCTTACATGGAAAACCTTCATTTTAAAATAATGCCTTGACACAGGACATGGTGAATGTGAGAGGCATGGCTTTAAGGAACTTCTTGAAGAAATTAATGGGGGGAAAAATAATCCAGAAATACCTCCTCTATTTCAAAAAATTCTGAGGTGCAATTGGCTGCAGGCTGGTCCTGGCCTTGGAGCCTACACATGCTGTCAGGCACTCTGAGGCAGGGTGCTGGGGAGTCGAGCTTTTGGTTTGGTCCAGTAGAAGGGCTTTTAAGTTCTACTCCTTTGTTTCTCTCCAAACAAAACACTGTCTTTACTTCTCATGTTAAACACAATGCATTATCCTCCCACATTCTGATTTTTTCAAAATAAGAGTTGCAGAATATATTTATTATCAAGTGAGCACAAAGCTTGTCAACATTACTCAATTTACATACAGTATACTACTACCTATCTGTACTACTAAATTAATATCTGCAACTGTTATCTGACACATGAACACAGTTGGTTTTAACAAACGTTTCTCACAGTTCATTTCAGGGTACCCACCATGATGTGGGGAATGGTGAGTGCATTTAGAGGTAACATGGACACAGGATACCAGTTCTAGACACCAAAGCTCCCAGCCCATATATTTCAGTAGTGATAACCACTGGCTCTAGCTCATGGTGCCTACCATTTCAAATCAACTTGAAGTACCTTTGGTCTCCTTAAAAATAATAAAAAAAAATAAATTCAGCCTCAGAGGTCTCAAGCTGAGCACCCAAAATCTTGGAAATACTAAAGAGCAATTTCCTCAATCTCTGATTCTTTGCATGTTCCAGGTTAGCTCACAGGGCCTCAAAAATGGAAATAAAAATGCAGTCCAGGAGTGCAGAGGGCTTTTAGTCTTATGTATAAACACAAGCCAGTCCCTCCTCTTAGCAGTCATCCCATAGAATTATCTCTTTAATACCTAGCATATGGGGGAGAGGAAAGCTTACACTGTAAACTACATGGGAAATCTCTTTTTTGCATCATTTTCTCCTTGTAGAGATAACAATATTCTTCTTGTATTTCACAGACAACAGTATCTGAGATTAGCTACAAAAAAGCCAACCTTTCCAAAATAAAATATAAACCAAATGCTTACCAAGAGTGGCAGGCTTCCGTCGCATGGAAGCTCTAATAATATCTGCTCCATGTATCTTATCTCTGTGCCTCTTTGACTTTGCTTCATAAAACCACTGCCCACTCATATTCTTTAGCTGAACATCGTCTTTGACTTTTTCTGGCAAATGCCTGTGGAGGAGGGAAAAAAAAAAAATATATACACAAAATCTACTTACCTGTGTGAACAGAAGACAGATTTTTTTGGGGGGGTGGGGGGGTGGTGTTCTTGTTCGGGTTTGGTGGGTTTTTTTGGTTTTTTTTTTAAATGCTGTCTCAGCATGCCATTTCTATCTTTCAACCTGTTACTCTCCTTATTTCATTATGAAGGATGACAATAAGCTGGAGAGGGAAGAGCCTCAGCCCTGTCACCCTTAGAGCATCAGCTGAAGTAACTTTCAAAAAAAATATGCTTTTTTCAAAAAAAAAATAAACTCTCAAGCAGAGACAGCTCTGCAGAAGTTTCCAGTAACTGCAGATCTTAACTTCTTGCCTCCAAAGGCCAGTTTTCCAAGGTTAAAATTGAGATAAGCTAGCAGGGGACCTTAAGAAATCTGTGCCAAAATTAAGTCCATGGCTGTTTTGGGGTTCAGAAGATGCCTTTTCAGGCTGCTCACATGGCACTACTTTTACATACATATTCCAAAAGTTCACTGGAAAGATGGTGTAATTTTTTCCATAGGTTACACAAAAATCCTTGTACAAATACAATGAGTTACAAAAGAAGACAACATCAACAGAAGAAACAACAAAATAAGTTTGTGCAGTTTATTAATTTACACATAACCGTCACATGAACTGCAGCCATTTTAATTTTCTATAAAGAAAATTTTTCACAATTTGTTTTCAGGCTTCAGGGTCATACTTTAACAGAATAAGAGTTGCTGCTTGCAATTTGAGAGATTGTTTTCTTTCCTCATTAGGGATATAACACATTAGGCATATGCTTATACATGGCCTGGAGACTAACCTGCAGACCAGGAGAGTTACTATACAGATTTAGAGAGTACTTAATCAAAAATAGTCAAGTCAGGCTTCATCTGCCTTCTCCATTTATGTCCTTTCCTTCAGCAAACAAGCTAATAACATAGCCCAAGGGATAAATCAAAACAAATCAAGTTACTCAGAGACTTTAAGGCTAAACACAGTCCCCATTGCTGTGGGATGGTGCTCTCTTCCACAGGCCTGATGGCCAATCATAGAATGGTTTGTGTTGGAAGGGTCCTTTAAAGCTCATCTAGTCCAATCCCAATGAGGTTCACGCTAGTTTGATATTGCTCATAAGTTTAGGAGAAGGAACTTCTAGTGCCATCAAGTAGCTATGATGACAGTCCTGTTGTTGTAGGTTGCAGATTTGACTGTCAAGTACAGACAACAATTCACAGCAGAGAAAGGACACTGAGCCAGTCCCAACCCCAACACTAAGGTCGTTCTCACCTATCACACCACCTCTCCTTCATCATTGCATGGCCAGAAATGAAGAGGCTTATTTGAATGCACCAGCTATATTAGAACTTAAATACCTAAACATCTTTTTGAAAGTACAGTCAAGAGTCAGTTCCTCCTAGGTGTGTAAACAACTTGTCTGTCTCAAATCAGTTACACACAGTTGAGGCTGCCAGAAGCTGAGGTCACCACTGGCATTTTTAATGCCAAGATTCAACAGTCCATAACATTACTGGGCATTTAAAAGTTGGCCTCCCTCTTGCTTATAACTCTGTGCTTTTTTAAGAGCCAAAATACAGGCTTCTCATATGCTGCAGGTCTTCCAAGTTGGAGCAGGAACATAGCAGTAGCTTCCCTCTGTCCTCAAGCAAATAGATGACTCAGGTATGAGCCAATTCCTCATTGCTCAGCCAGTTTATGAACACAGTCAGCAGAAAAAGGCAACATGGCATGCAAGAACTTTTTACATAGATGATTGCTTTGCTCTTTCACCTTCTTTCCTATGTGTTATTTGTCTTCTCAGAAGAGATGCTCCTTGGGGCTAGGGACTGGCTTTTCAGCTATTTGTACAGCCTGCAGGGCAGCAGAGCTCTGACCCCAGAGTGTGCTTCAGGGCAGTATGACAACATATGCCAAGGGAGGTTCTCTAGCAGGAAGGTACCGAGTCACAGGACAAGTATTCAATGCCCTCACCCTGTTTGCTTCAACCCTTTTACCCCAGATACTGCTCACTCCTTTTCCCTTTGTATTCGACCACTGAAACTAGGGTGTGGTAGGAGACCTTTACAAGTCTGCTCAGACCAATAAAGCTGGCAGGATCCCAAGCCTCTCAGCTGTGTCAGCCTACTTACCTGCTTGTTGGACTCTCAGATCTGCAACCAATTAATGTAAGCAGGACAGAGACAGAGGCATGATTTGTCATGGCTCTAAACTCATTAAATGTCACCTATGGCCAATGCATTCTGGCTGAAAGTGAATGTCTTGCTCCCACCCCTGCTCGCTGCCTATGGAAGTCAGTGTACCTTAACTCCATCAGCTCAACAGGCCCTCTAGACTTTGGGAGATAATTATGCTTGCTAACAAAGTTATAAACATGCTCTCAATTTACACAGTACTTCCTTTTACAAATGAAGTGTCTGGCTGATAGGGCTTGTACGGTAAGAAGTGACAGAAACTCACAGCAGCTGACTTACAAACTACTTTTGCCTTTTCTTTTCTCACCTTTATAGCACCTGACCTTTGTCAGTTTGGCTTACTCATCTCTTCAAGTATTTAGCCTCTCAGTCCCATCTTTTGGGGAACCAAGAGCAGCGTAAGTATTAAAGCTGTTCTCAGGCATTCCCCAGCCACAAATAAGCAGCAGATTTCCATTATCAGAAAGACAATCAGTTCTACGTCTTGGCAGGGAAAAAAGCTTTTAAGCCTGCATTCACCAACACATTATAGACTTGTCGCAAAAACAGCTACTGAGGTTACAAATGGGAATCTTTACAATGCTATTTGAATTCTCAAGCTCTGCTATGAGCAGGCCTTAGCAATAATATCAAACTGCTTGCACTGTGTGAGCTTGTTTCACTGCTAGGCATTAGATTTAGATTGTGGTTTACCTTGAAAGGAATTGTGGAGAAATCAGACTGCAGCCATGGTTTTCTGCTGCTACATATGCCTCCCAGCACACCACACAGGATTAGAAGCCAACAGTTGATTCTACGCCTGCTCCCCAGTCAACAGAAAGGCTAACCAAGTTGTCATTATGTTATTTTCCTCCTGGTGACCAAAGAGCTAGTAGGCATCCAGATTAAGATTCAGATTGCAGGTGCAGTTGCCAAGTTTGCAATTAGGAAAAAATGCAGTAATGGCTTTACATATGATGTAAGCATGTATTCTGGAGTCCCTCAGTGGTCTGTTAAAATGCCAGTTAGCCTATGTTGCAGTTTTCAGAGTGAAACTGCCTAAAGGTACAATAAAACTAGTGCCTGTTTCTTCTATAGGAACATTAAACTCAAAAAAAAAAAAAAAATGAAGGTACATAGTTAAAAGGAATTCACTCTAAAACCCTCTTTCAAAATAAGCCCTAGTTCCTCCATTACTTAATATGATTTTTCCACTATGCCTAGGTGAAACACGTTTGATGGCAAGATGACAAATTTTTCATCACACTAGGGCATTAAGTACATGCAGAATTACATTGAATGGGCATACAAAGCAACTGCCCAGCACTCTGCAGGCAAACAGAAAATCTACACATGTATTAATTGGGTTGTTTCTGCCCATCTAAGGAACATCTGATAGTGGGCTAAATCACATGGTACCGCTATAAGGCAGGAAATCTGCTCCAATATAACTAGTCCCTGTCAACCTTCCTATCAGCAAATCCAGAATGGTTTATCTTATGTTTCATAGGCTAGTGTAATAGCTCATTGCATATTACGGTGAAGTGATAATGACTTCTGTTTCTTTTTTTGAAACACTAGTATCTAACAATACGTACCTGTATCTAAAACTGTACCTCCTCAGTGTCTCTTAATTCCTTCACCTGTACTCCCTTCATTCATATTCCATATTACAAACCACCATAGAATTTGCAAGATGTGACAAATAACATCTTAATAACTCCTTTTATTGCCTTATTCCTCAATCGACAGCTTAAACTGAGCTTTTCGGACAGGAGAGTCTGTATGGTGCCAGCACATTCTGAGACTTCTTGTGACAAACTAAGAAACATTTAAATCAGGGTCTATGTTTGGCTCAAAAAGCACTCCAGTGACTGGTGGCAAAATAAAGGGTTTTTTAATGCCCAATACAACCACTTTATCTACAAATTGACTTCCAAAATCTCCCTCCTGCAAATGAAATACAAAATGAGTGGAGAAGGTGGAAGGAGAGAGACTTTTCAGGAATTTATTCTCAGTTCTATTTGCTGCAAGCATAACAACAAACCCCAAACTAACAAGAAGATGACAAATTACTTAGGTTCTGAATCACCTTCTGAACACAAACAAGGTAAACTTTTTGTAGCATCAGTCATGCAAGAACAGGAGTAAAACAATATTAGACCAGGCATTATAAGTGTCCAACTTGCCAATTAGTTATTTGGCTGGTTTTGGGGGTTTGGTGTTTTTTGTTTGTTTTTGTTGTTTGGGTTTTTTTCATTCTTCTTTAAGAGTGGGAAACAGCCGTAAAAGGTTTACAAGATAAAAGGAGTAATTGTTTAAACATTCCACTTTGCATGAGCATGCCTCTTTAGTCTGCACATACCTAGATAAGGTATAGGAAAACGTCTGCTCTGGCATTTGTTAGAGAACTACACCCAAAACATTTGTAATGGGCAGTCCTAGATTGGAAATATGGACTATTCCTTTTGCATGGTAGCTGCATACATATGACTTTCAAAAAAATCAGTTACTATTTCATTAGTTTAAGCAATATAATTTTAAACTGGTTGAGGGCTATTCTAGGAAGAATAAAGCAAACCAATGGGGTTACACAACCTTTCCCCATTCTTGTCATTATAATACCTCATCAGCAACACCTCTTTACTTCTTGCATTTGGAGTCTCTTTGGATAGCAAGGTTTTGGGTAGGTAGAATTAGGTGCAGACATGAGAAAAAGGCAGTCTAGTTCTGTTTGTAGTCATGCATGTTCCTCCATTTTTTGCCTATTCAGAAGTCTGGGTGTGTTAGGTCTAATTCATCAAGGTACTGTTAGTAATCTCAGCTAGCATCTTGCTTTTGGATCCTCAGAGAATTAAGTAGGCTGTAGTCAGCACAAGTCTTGATGACTAACAAGACAAACTGACATTTATTCTGAAGTCAGAAGGGAAGACAGACACATCCAGGCCTGGAGTATTAGAACAAATGAGTTACGTGCTCATAGGTATGAGACAAGTCAACTGATTTTGGAGAGAAAGAAGTGAAAGCAGGCAGCTCTGCTACCCATTGAAATGTGGTCTCCACCAGAATCGGGGACCAAAACTATGACCCCAACTTCTGTGCTGAGCAAGTGTTTGTGAAACACACTGACGAAATTAACCCTCCTATACATATTTCTCGCATAGAGGATGGCCACACATGGGGCATCAGACTTGCATGTTGTCCCCATATTTCATTTAAACCCTATATACATTCTGCACTGAAGATGGGAGTCCTTCATTTTTATATGCTTTTCTACTATGTCACCTGCAGTTAGCACTCAGCCTTGCTCTCCTATTAGTATTTGCACTGTCAAGTTTGAAGTAAGCTTCATTTTACAAGTAATATAAATTATGTAATTAGATACTCCCTAGCCAGATACACAGAATATGTAAATTTGTTTAGGCATTTCTTACTATATGAAAGTTTAACTTTATTCCATTCAGGAAATCTGTAGCAAGACCGTTGAGGTGACAGAGTACAAGAGGTAGGAGTCTTTCAAGGTCTGTCAGCCTTCACAGTTTCTGTCAGCTTCCACTTGTTTCATTTCTACAACAGCCTTCCACTGTTTAGTTTGTCTGCTTGTTTTAAAGGATTTGCATAGAGGATCCCCAGTGGCCTCCCGTCCCTCTTCATACACAACCCAAGGAAACCTGCCACAGAAAAAAACCAACCAACAAAACCTGCATAATGAAGGAACGGCTATCCTGTGACAATACACCTTCAATATTAGAGGCAGCCTAGACTGCAGCACAGGACAACCTGAATCTGGGGAGGAGAGGTTGCTAGAAAGTATGTGTATTCACTCACAGGTTCTAGGCTTTAGAAGTAGGCATATAAAGCATAAAAACAACCCTGATCAAATGACAACCCACAGGACACATACAAACATCTAAGTGAGCAGAAGAGCCTGCATCGTAGCTTTCTTCACACTACCAGCAAGGGCATCTCTAAGAAATTGATGCTGTGCTAAAGAACAGGTTGCATTTTAGGATTTCAGGTGAGCTACAACTCAAGACTAATCTATTCTGAAGACAAAGGCTTCAGTTTGGCACTCAATAATACAACACAGTCCCAGGTACAAACATGTGATAGATCTTACCAGGACAGTTTTTGTACTGTAGG